AGTTCCATTATTTATGGCTTCCTATTGTGGATGGAATGTTTGTGTCCCCTCCAAGTTCATATGTTCAAATCGAACCCCCATTGTGATGGTTTTAGGAGATGGGGCCTGCGAGAAGTGATCAAGATAAGTGCCCTAATAAAGGAAGCCCCATAAGCTCTCTACCATGTGAGGATTCAGCAAGAGGACTGCTGTCTATGAATCTGGAAGAGTACCCTCAAAAGGCACAGAATCTGCTGGTACCTTGATCTTGGACTGCCCAGCCTCCATAACTATGAGAAATAATTATTTGTTTGTTGTTTAAGTCACTCAGACTATAATATCCTGTTATAGCAGGCTGAACTAAGATAGTCCTTATTTTCCATTTTCTCTTCCAGTAGGGTATATCATTTTTATGCTTGGGGATCATTTTTCTTTTTTTGATGTTTCAATTTGACCATGATCTGGGTTGTCTAAGAATTGCTTAACTGATCTCATGTCATATGTGGCCTTTAAGGAGTGTGCGTGTGTTTGTGTTTGTGTGTGTGTATGTGTGTGTGTGTGTGTGTGTGTGTGTGTGTGTGTTAGTCCCCCCTATACACAGGGGACATGTTCCAAGATTCCCAGTGGATGCCTGAAACCCTGGATAGTACTAAATCCTATATATACAATGTATTTCTCCGTATGCTCTGCTGTGTTGCAACTTAGTATCAGAGTTAATCATGTTTATGCCCTGGATTAAGCTAATCCATGCTTTATCCCTTGGTGCCTTCTTTGCATCACTATTCATGAGCTTTGGAGTCATTATTAAGTAAAATAAGAGTTGTTTGAACATAAACACTACTGTGACTGTTAATCTGAGAACCGAGAAAGCTACTTTTGAGTGGGTAGCATATAAAGCACGGATACACTGGACAAAAAGAGGATTCACATCCCAGGTGGGAAGGCATGAGGTTTCATCAGACTACTCAGAATGGCACACAATTTAAAATGTATGAATTATTTATTTCTGCAATTTTCCAATTAATATTTTCAGACTGTGGTTGATTGAGTAAAAATGAAACCATGGAATGTGAAACTACAGATAAGAGGAGACTACTGCGCATGCCTGGTTCCAGCTAAATCCTTTGGGTAGCTAGAAGGAGGTCAGGAAATGTAAGAGTCTTTGAATGCAATTAACCTATCTGCTTGAATGAATCCCACATTGTGTTTCTGGAAAGAATGTCAAGGTTGACATGAACCCTTTCAATTAGGGTGAGACTAACATTTTCAATTCTCTTTATTCCATGTAGCTCTCTTTTAGACCTGCTTTTGAAGAAAGTCCATGCAGTCACTCGTGTTAGAGACTAGAATCTGGAGACTGAAACACTGCTGAATTAATTTTGCAAATTCAAGAGAAAGTTGCCAACACATATTTGAGCCCTCGTTTCACAAAATAATGGTAAGAATTCTAGACTGGGCATTGGAGACATGGATTTCTTTCTGTATCATAATTTAGTTTAACAGAACATTTCTTGTTCCCATGCTAAAGGCCAGAGGTTGGGACAGGAATTGATGGGGGAATGCAACGTCCTCTTGTCCTTAGTGTCTGTATCAGGAAACATTGCTTGCCTTCTCTTCTTTCTCTACCTACCCTTTTTCCTTCTTGGCAGCTCTCCATCTCCCTCTCCTGAGCCTTGTACTTGAAGGGAAGCTAAGTCCTTATTGGGCTCAACCAGTCATAGTGCTTTCAATCTCTTGTCAGTAATTAGTTAAGGCAGAGGCATGTGTCTCCATTCT